GAAGTACATTAATGTGACATCACACACAGAAAATAATCAAATATCTTCAAGCCACCAACTCAGAGTGTCTTTCTATCTTTCTTGGCTCTGATTGGTTGTTTTCGTTCAGGCCTGCTGGATTCTTACAAATGCCATTAGAAGCACTAGGAGGAGCCAGAGGAAACTTTTTTTCACAGATTATCTGTATACCTGAAAAAAACAGGTTCCTCTGGATCTAAAAGAATTTTAGGTCTGTGCTCAACAACTTTTTTCCAATCAGTAGGTATTATTAGTATTTCAATCAGAGTGTGCTTTCTGTTGTAAAAAAAATGTTTCTGTCGCAACTTTTCTATATTCAAACCTTGTGTTTCATTGACATTGGGGTTACTTCCTCATTGTTCGTGGCCTCATGGACTCCAATGCAAATGTGTATATGTAAAAAAACAGAAATAATAATTTTCCAAATGTTATTCTTTTCTCCTGAACTTATTAAGTCCCAATATGTATAAAGGTAATGAGGTCATTGACATATAAAAGATGGACGTCACGTCTCCACTTCCTCCTACTGTACAAAAATGAAGACAAATATAACAAAAAAAAAAACACTTGAACTTACATCAGCGTGATAGGAACTACCAAAAATGACAGAAAAATGTATTTGACATTTACTTTGATTTTTCAGTTTGGTCCATGTCCCATCTACTTACATTGAGGCAGTGCACTGTATGGCCTATACTGCAGCCAGCCACCAGGGGGCTGTCAGGTCGTCCATCTTAATATGTCAATGATTGAAGTGGTAACCATTCCCTTTGTTGACACATTACTTAAAATTGCTGGGAGCTTTTAGTCCAGTGTGCGGCAAAAAAGCAAAGTAAGAGCCTTTAGTTTTTCTAGCACCCGTATAATTATTTTTGGGATATGAGAGAAAGAGAAAGAGAAAGGTTTAACAGGGTGTAGGGTATATATACCCTGTTTAACCTTTCTCTTTGCCCCAAACTGGACCTGAACAGTTGATGAAGCTGAGACATTAATATGTTATGTGGACTGTGCATGCAGCAATATATAGATTTCTTTTGTTTGGAAAAAAGTAATTTACAGACAAACAAAATACAGTATGTTGTCCTCCATATGTATATTGATGTATGTTGACCTCAGACTATTACTATTACGTTTTTATTTTTATTATTATTTTTACACTCCAATAACACAAATCGAAAAAGGCTTATTTGGAATTTAGGAATGTAGTAGTGCTTTGCTGTCTACTAGAACTTGTGAAAATTAGTTGTATTTAACCATGTTTTACAGTTCTGCAGCTTTCTGAAGCCAACTTCTGAAATACCTCTTTTGTTCAAAATCATGTTTTTATGCAATTCTCATAAAATTAGGAAAAGTCATGAAGCATTTAGCTGATGAAACATTAAGTTTAAGCTGTTAAATAGGGCACCAAACAGAACATTTAGTTCATTTTTGTTCTTTAAAGGAAACCTCTTCAGTAAGTTAAACATCAACCCTTCCAAGGACAAACTGTCTATACATTCCTCCACTATACTGTGGCAGCCCTCCACCCCCTTCTTGGACCCAGTCTTTCTTGTTCAGCAGCCAAGAGGTGACCTTTGCACTATATGTTGCCCTTCCTGTGTCCTACCAACAGTCTCCTGCTCTCCTCCTACTCCTCCTCCTCTTCCTCCTGCTCCATTCAATCTACTGTACCCCACATCATATACTGTACATGTGCAAACAGGCACATGCGCAGTTCACCTCCCATGTGTAACCTACAGACTGACTTTACACACACACACACACACACACACACACACACATACATAAACACACACACACACACACACACACACACACACACACATTTACATGCTGAAATCCCCC